CGTGCCTGTGCGGGAGGGAGAGTGCGAGTCTGTGCGCGTGCCCGTGCAGGAGGGAGAGTGCGAGTGTGTGTGCGTGCCTGTGCGGGAGGGAGAGTGGGAGTCTGTGTGCGTGCCTGTGCGGGAGGGAGAGTGCGAGTCTGTGTGCGTGCCCGTGCAGGAGGGAGAGTGCGAGTGTGTGTGCGTGCCTGTGCGGGAGGGAGAGTGCGAGTCTGTGTGCGTGCCCGTGCGGGAGGGAGAGTGCGCGCGTGCGGGAGGGAGAGTGCGAGTCTGTGTGCGTGCCCGTGCGGGAGGGACAGTGCGCACGTGCGGGAGGGAGAGTGCGAGTCTGTGTGCGTGCCTGTGCGGGAGGGAGAGTGCGAGTCTGTGTGCGTGCCTGTGCGGGAGGGAGAGTGCGAGTCTGTGTGCGTGCCCGTGCGGGTGTGTTGTAGTATTGGAGCACCCCTCCCGATCTCACCGTCTCCTTCACTCCCTCCAGTGCCCCCGAAGCCGTCCCACCTCTGCCGGACCCGATTGTTGGAGCCTATACCCCCTGCCCCCCGCAGACCGCTGCCCGCTGACCCCAGGGGAGCTCAGTCCACCCCTGGTACTGGACGCCAAGCTGGCACCCTGGCACGGGTCTCCACCCTCATTGACAAGTTTGAAAGGTACAGCCTGGGGTGGAGAGGGAGGGGTGGGTGTGTGTGTGTCTGTGCCATCATTCTCCACTCCCTCCCCCAACAACCCAGGGGATGGGGGTTTGTGGTCAGCTCCTGGATGGGAGGGAATCGAGTGACCTCAGCTTTGTAGTGATGCCAGTGATGCACTCCGTAGCTGATCAGCCTTCTGGCGCACAGGGAAGGACAGTCCTTTGCCTGCAGCATATCCTGGGAATGATTGATCGGGGTGAGTGAAGAGGAAGCTTTACTCTGTATCTAACCCCATGCTGTCCCTGGGAGTGTTTGATGGGGGGTCAGTGTAGAGGGAGGTTTACTCTGTATCTAACCCCCCGTCCCTGGGAGTGTTTG